GGGGTACGTTGTTCTTTTCTTACGACGAATATCGATAGAGATCGATATTAGAGGGGTTTGCAGGACCGCGGGATATGGAGTGTACTGGAGGATGTAATATGATAAAGCTGTTCCTTCGAGGGGAAACTGATTTCTAGATAAGACGCGGAAGCGTTTCAGGTATCGAGCGGGGAAGAAGTGTTCGCGATTATGGCTCGCGGTCATAAGAGGAAGATTCTTGAGTTATTCGATAATTTCAGTGTACGATCATTAAAAATAAATCCATCCATTTCGAATACTTTACTGGTTTTGTTGTATAAATTCTCTGACTGGAATAATAGATTTCATTCAGGTTTTACGCACCAGTACTTGATACATTTACGTACTTATTTTATTCTTCTATTGTTTCTTTAAATATATATATATATCGCGGGCAAATAAAGGAAGGCGAGAACAAGGGTATTATATATGATATTTTAAGAAGCATCGTGAAGAGAATCTCTTAATATACCCGATACCGCGAAATTACAAACGAAACATATATTTTATCGAGAAATATCCACACGTACTTCTTGTGGTTCGGTCGGTTTGAAGCTCGGCCTTGGTGGAAACGCTTCAGGCCCATTCTGAAGGAGGCTAGGATTGTCCGTCCAATGCGGTTTCAAGGACGGCCTTGGCGGTGTCCAACTGTTCTCTGACCAGAAATGGGAGCTGCTGGTCAACGGTTTGACCGTCTCGAGCGAACTCATCGGCTTGGTGGACAAGGACGGTCTCTGCTTCGTGACGAACACCGGTTCAGTGGTCACATGCCAGTGAGAGGTTTGTGGCAAGGATCCGGCTGCGCTAGAATGAAAGAAAAGCTTGAAGCTCGAAAACGCTTCGTTCCGCTTCGCTTCCTGTTTCCGTTGGAGCCATTAATTATGGAGAAAATTTACGATCGCGAGTTAATTCCGCGCAGTTGAATAAAAGCTTTGGAATGGTCCAACGAGAGGAAGAATTTTCGAGGGTAGCAACGCAAGGACATAGTCGGATACCTGGTGGTGGATTGGCCGCTCAAGTGTGACGGTCTGATTGTGGTCGAAGTTTTCACGGTTGTGCTCGGGCCATTAGGTTTCGAGACGAAGTTCGGCCTGGTATCCGGTTGCTCGTTCATCAGGATCGGCCGATAAGTTGTCGTCTTGATCGAGAAGTACGGTTTCGAGAAGTCTGTGGTCGGTTTGGGGGATACCGGTTTGGTAGCCCATTGTGGACGTTCCGTGTGAATGAAGTTCAAGCTCGGATGAGGATCCTTGGCTGATTCCTGATGAGATGGTTAAACACTTTTAAACTTTACTTTGAAAGCAAGCTCTCCCCTCCCCAAAAAATCAACAAATTTCGATGCTACGTTGAATTCGAGCACCCTAGAACGTCGATTATTCGAACTGATTTGTTTGAATAAAAGAATCTTCGATCAGAAAGAATACATCATGAAAGGATTAAATAATTTTTGGATATGTAAAAAAATTCATATTTATTCCACATTCGAACAAGCGAAGTTCTATTGTGAATGGTATTTGACCAAAAGTAATCATTATTTTTAAAATTTCAAACAATCAAATGCTTACATTTTCATCAACCGAATTAACACTCGGTCTATGAATCGATTCCTGAACGCTCAAATCAGCCTCTTCCGTTTTACTATCGTCGGGCCTCGACTCGGATGGTCTTTGGTTGTTAGGCCTGTTGGGCCTGATGCCTTCATCTTCGTTAGACGCATGCTCTTTTCCAGGTAACCTAATCACCAATGTATTGAGTCCCGTATCTATCTTATCTTTGTATCCCTGATGATGATTCTGAAAGCCTTCATGCGTCGTGTCTTTCTCTTTGACAACCGTGTGTTGGTCACTTTCCGGTCTCGGTTTTTGAAGACTCGAGAAGTCATGATGACCAGGTCTCTTCGAATCCTGATTATTCTCCCCCCATACAGGTCTTTTCGTGCTTTGAGATTCCTTTTCCAAATTGTCAGAGGATGCAGGTCTTTTGGTACTTTGAGATCCCTTTTCCCAAATTTCAGAGGAGCCAGGTCTCCTAGTGCTCTGAGAACCCTTTTCCCAAACATTAGGTAATTCTGGTCTTTTGGTACTTTGAAACTCTTTCTCCCAAGATTCAGAAGAGCTTGGTCTCTTTGTGCTCAAAGACCCTTTCTCCCAAGATTCAGAGGAACCTGGTCTTTTGGTGCTATGAGTGTTCTTCTCCCAAACTTCAGAAGTTCCTGGTCTTTTGGTGCTATGAGTATTCTTCTCCCAAACTTCAGAGGATCCTGGTCTTTTGGTACTATGAGTGTTCTTCTCCCAAACATCAGAGATTCCTGGTCTTTTGGTACTGTGAGTGTTCTTTTCCCAAACTTCAAAGGATCCTGGTCTTTTAGTACTATGAGTGTTCTTCTCCCAAACTTCAGAGGATCCTGGTCTTTTAGTACTGTGAGTGTTCTTCTCCCAAATATCAGAGGTTCCTGGTCTTTTAGTACTCTGAGTATTCTTCTCCCAAACATCAGAGGTTCCTGGTCTTTTGGTGCTATGAGTATTCTTCTCCCAAATTTCAGAGGATCCTGGTCTTTTGGTACTATGAGTGTTCTTCTCCCAAACTTCAAAGGATTCTGGTCTTTTGGTGCTGTGAGTATTCTTTTCCCAAACTTCAGAGGATCCTGGTCTTTTGGTACTATGAGTATTCTTTTCCCACACTTCAGAGGCTCCTGGTCTTTTAGTACTATGAGTGCTCTTCTCCCAAACGTCAAAGGATACTGGTCTCTTCGTACTATGAGTGTTCTTCTCCCACATATCAGAGCTTCCTGGTCTTTTGGTGCTATGAGTATTCTTCTCCCAAATTTCAGAGGATCCTGGTCTTTTGGTACTATGAGTATTCTTTTCCCAAACTTCAGAGGATCCTGGTCTTTTGGTACTATGAGTGTTTTTCTCCCAAACTTCAGAGGGGCCTGGTCTTTTGGTGCTATGAGTGTTCTTCTCCCAAGCTTCGGAGAGTTCTGGTCTCTTGGTACTTGGAAACTCCTTGTCCCAAGATTCAGGAGAGCTCGGCCTCTTGGTGCTCTGAGAACCCTTCTCCCAAGAATCAGAGGATCCTGGTCTTTTGGTGCTATGAGAGCCCTTCTCCCAAATTTCTGGGGAACTCTGGGACCCTTTCTCCCAGAAATTCGACGAGGAGGCGGGAACCGCAGAGGTTTGGACCCTGTCCTTGTGATCGTTCGCGGGTTTCGCGTGCGGTCTTTTTTGCAGCGGCCTAGCGGAACCGGCCGGCAGCGGTTTGTGCGGTCTGCCGGACCCTCCGGAAGACTCGAGCGTCTCGGATGGATGGTAACTCGGCCTGGCGGTGCTCGTGTCCGTGACGAGGAAGCTGGAGAGGGAGGTGAGCGTGGGCCTGGTCGACTCGTTGCCCAGCGCCTCGGCCAGGGTCGGCCTCAATGGGTCCAAAGAGGATGCTTGTTGATGATGATGGTGGTGATGATGATGGTGATTGGAGACGGTGATCGCGTTCGTCGTCGTGTTGTGCACGCAGCAGCTGCCGAACATGAACGTGTCCACGCACACGCCCACGTGCGTGCCCTCAGACTTGATGCACTCCCACACGAACATGCAGGTGCCCTCCTTGGACTCTGGACCCGGGGCTCGACAAGGTTTCGGGGTGATTTTGTAACCTGTATATGCGAATATATGTAGTGTAGTCTTTTGTCATTTTTTAATTTTCAGGGTTTGGCTTCGATGCCATTTTTCAAAGAGGATCGTCAAGCGATTCAAAGTGGTTAAAGCTAGTTTCAAGGCTTCCATCATTCTGTCACGATGGTGGTGATCGACCCATCTTGTGTGTTTTAGTGAATGAAAGAATTACATTCTGATAAGGGATGGAATTGTGCGAAGAAGATGGATAGATAATGGTGAAGGTTCGATAAAATTTATCGACTGTCAAGATTTTATGATAGATTCTAGGATGGAATATTAACGAAAAAGAAAATTCAATTTTTGTTAAGTATATGCTAACAATCCGATAAGTTTCGTGATCGATTATCTTTCATTTCCCAACATTCGAATGCGTTAAAAGTAGGACAGTGAAAAATTACGGTTGTCCAATGTTTATTCGAGACTGGAGGATCAATTTGAAAAATGCTTGTGCTAACGATCGGTGCTAACGAGAGTGGTTCACGAATTTAATCGACGTCTGTTCCTTCATCTCCGGATACGATTCCACGTGACCTACATGACCACGCGGTGCGTGATAAGCCACCGTTTAAACGGATATCGATGCACCTCCGTAATTAACAACGGCATCCTGGGAACCTCGAGGTCGCGTCGTTCGAAGAATAATCGTTTCCCTCGTGTTCGGGGAATAACCGTCCGGATCGATAACTTACCGACCGAGCGATTCTCTTTTGGATTTCGGCCGAATCGCTAATTAACCGGGCCCGGTACCGCTGTTGGATCGAGTTCGGTAATTGGAGCGTTGTTAACGTCCCAACCTTTCGATAGAATCTTTCCTCCAGTTTCTTCTCAGTGAAAGTGCGGCGTGGCCCTTTCGTCGGGAGAGGATATTCGTGTGAAGCCGAAGGGACACACGCGCGAGAAAAAAGAAAGACGAACAAAAATGGAGGAGATAAAGAGAGAAAGAGAGAGAGAGAGAGAAAAAAGAAAAAAAAAAAAAAGAAAGGAAAAACGGTGCGGTCGATCGTCCAAGTGTACGAGAGTACGTAGACCTGGGCCAGGTCGTTAACCGAGACAGTAAGAGCGCGTAAGCCGACGTAAATTGCCGCGGTTCTCTACCTTCACGGTCTCGCTTTCTCCCGATAAGAGCGGCGTTAATTAAAGAAAAACTTTATCGGTGGCCGACGTTCGTCTTCACAGCAGAGGGAACACAATGGGCCGAAGATTCGTGGTGGATTCACTTATTACGATTTGAGGCAATTAGGATATTATTGTATTGGTTTCAAGTAACGAAGGGTATTATTATATTGATTTTCGTGTACTTTGACTAATCATTCTCAGCCTAATTGGATACCGTTTCGAGATTCATCAAAGTTACGTTTTTCACAAAAATATAGTAATTAATGCATGTCGTGAAAAACTTGACCACTTATTACTACCGATGTTTTCACATCAGCGATCACCTGTGAAACTGGTTCTGGTTAAAAAAAGGACAAGTATAAAATTTATTTTTAAATTGAATAAAGTTCCCCAGTAATCTTAAGGCATATATTATCCACGTAATATACACTTTTCATTTAACCAATACTACCTTGCTTCTCGACAAATTCCATTTCCTTTAGATCCTTTTCCGTTTAGATCGAATAATAATTTCTTGAAACAAACTTTATGAAAAAAAAAAAAAAAAAAAGATATCAAACATTACAAGATTGTTTTCTTCGAAATATATATAAAAAAAAAAAAGATAAATGCCTCGAACTTTTCATCATGAATCGACAATAATCGTTACAAATAT